TATATATATATATATATATAAAAGAAAGAACAGTAAGATATATAATCCGGCGTTCTTACAGATATTTTTATTTTTTACAAAATAGTGCTCAAAATAAATTTACAGAGCATTAATATTATAAGTTAATTGATTTAAAATATGGGTTTTTTTTCGCTACACAGTTCTAACCATGTTTCAAAAGTAGAAGCTGAAAGCTCCGAATTTAATTTTGTAATTAAATTAAAGACATTAGTTCCATTTCATCTTCAAGCGAATTTTGGAATAACTTTTAAAATTACTGGCTTTTAAAGACACAGCAAAAATCAAACGTGAATTATGATTTTTGCTGTATCTTTGAAACCCAGTAAATGGAATGACAGCATCAAGAATAATCCAATACTGAATAAATGTAACATCATCACAGGCATTGAAACCATTCTGGCACAGATACAACTTAGGTGGGCTGGTCATGTTGTGAGAATGGATGAAGATAAGCTCCCAAAAAGGGTGCTGTATGGACAACTACCAAATACCAAGCGTTCAGTTGGACGTTCACTTTTACGCTACAAAGACAAATTGAAAGACAACTTGAAACGTCTCAACTTTGATCTGAAAACCTGGGGAAGTCTAAGCATGAAACCGAAAGGAGTGGCATGAGACATGTTTCTTTAAGTTAAATGTTTTTTGAAGACAGTAGACTGAAGCACCGTGACCAACTTCGTCAAGATCTGAAGCAGAGATGCCATCAAAATCCTGCTTTAACAAATTTCATCTGTCAGTATGGCTTTGTCGCTTGCAGCAAGGTTGGGCTAGTATCGTACTTAAGAAAGCACAAATGAAATATGTCTTTCCGTTACCTGATTTTCTCCACAATAGCCGCTGCTAGCACGCATAAGTGTGAAACGAAAGGCACCATCCACTGCTGACCCTCATTTATCGTTCACGATAGTCTACTATATATATATATATATATATATATATATATATATATATATATATATATATATTATATTTAATTATTTTTCTAAAGTACGAATCTTCTTTTGCAAATATGGAATGTTTGAGATCCAGTTTTCTTAAGTGATTAAAAAATATTTTTCCAGCCACGTCATTACACGTTAGTGTCACATGACTTACTGCCTTACTTGATTTAGCTGTCAAAAAATAACGACACTTTTCGGCGGGAAAGATCATGACTTCTTCGACTTAAATGTTGTCAACTTCTTATTCAAGACTTCGTAAATATCTCCAATTGCATATTACCATCGCCATATTTAATGTTAGAGAACTTCTTAAAAAAAGAAAAGCAGAAATTATTGACTCGGGACGTTAATAGTGATAACATTCATGTCTGCTGTCTCCAAAAAACCAAAATCAAAGAATGACTTGATATTAATATAAGGGTTAAACGGCACGAGTTAAACAGTAAATATTATTGTTATGGTAATTTACCCACGCACGCATGGACTCTCCCAGTTATAAATAGGAGCAGGTACTGCCTTTTGGAGAGGGAATTTTCCAGCAGTCAGCTCTGACAGTCGTACCGAACATCCTTGCTGTAACACTCTCTTTTGTATATGTTTGTATTACTGCTTCTGTTAATATATTTGTTTAACTCAATTCCTCTCTTTGTGTCTTTATTTCTGGTCCTAACAAGGCCACAACACCATCTACCTACTTATCGCCCTACCTACCTAACTTCATATATTCCTATCTATCTATCTATCTATCTATCTATCTATCTATCTATCTATCTCAGTCAATTTCTTTTTTCTATCTCAGTCATTTTTTTTTTATCTGAGCCATTTATCTATCTATCTGTTATGGTAATTTACCAACGTGCGCATAGACTCTCCTATATATTATAGGAGCAGGTAGCCTTTTGGAGGTAATTTTCCAGCAGTCAGCTCTGACTGTCGGGCCGAACATACTTGCTATAACACTCTCGTTTGTATGTTTGTATTACTGTTTCTGTTAATATATTTGTTTAACTCAGTTTCTTTGTTTGTATCTTTATTTCTGGCCCCTAACAAGGCAACAACAATTTTGAAAATGGTTTTGCTATCAATACCAAATGGAAGAATAACATCTATAGACATTGGACAATAACCATCGTATGCACATTGAATAACGACATTTAAACAACTATCAATAAAATGCCATCATTCTCTGTAAAAACTTTGAAAAACTTGAACGGCCTGCAGCCAGTTCGTGAGTTAGCACAAGATGGAAATGACTGAGAAGAGATATTTACAAAGCTGCTAAAGAAAACATCATTTAAGCGCAGTACTAGATTGGCTTTAGGTTTCAGCGTTTTATTGTTGTGGAAATCTCTCCCAGTTTCTTGCTTACCTGTAACCTACGATCTTCAAAACTTTAAACGCAACATCAATCCCCATATTCTGTCTTTCTGAAACCTGTTTTTTTTGTTGTCCTTTCTTCTTACTAAGTTTCGACCATTTTCTTTCACTCTTAGTAACCCTTTGCGCCTTAGTTGCTTTATCGCCTTACTTGGGTTGAAATGATTAAAAAAATGTTACTGTTTAAATATGTATGGATATAAGTAATCAGAAACAAATATTCTTTTATTAATTTTAATTTTTTTTTTTTTTTTTTTACATTTCTTGTTTTCATTTCGAATGAATGCAACTCCGTGCTTAATGTACTTAAGGATTTCTATCCTTGGCTCAGCCATTTTCAAGACATAAAACTTTAATTGTCAGGATACTGTGAATTATCTCCTAGCTTTTATGACATCATGGTGAACATTATTGTGTTGTGATTCACAATAAAATGTCATTCTTTGGACATAGAGCCAAAAAGCCCTCACCTACTGTTATGTTAATTTATTAACGCACGCATTGACTCTCCCAGCTATAAATAGGAGCAGGTACTGCCTTTTTGGGAGGGGGAAGTTTCCAGCAGTCAGCTCTGACAGCCAGACCGAACATTCTTGCTGTAACACTCTCGTTTCTGTGCGTTTGTAATACTGTTTCTGTTAATATATTCGTTTAACTCAATTCCTATCTTTTGTCTTTTTTTCTGGCCATAACAAGGCCACAACACCTACATTAACCACTGACCAAGGTTCACTCTATGGGGGGAAAAGGAAAATTAAATAAAAAATAAAATTCCTTAATTTTCTTCGTATTAACGCGATCCATTTTTGTAGCCAATCCTCTATTTATATTCCTTCAAATTACAAGAGATTTATTTTTCCAAATCATTTGATAAAATACAAATTAGTATCTGCAATGTTATTGGTCCTGACCTGGCATCTCGGTTTCAGTCACTTTCCCATCGTCGTAAAGTAGCTTCCCTGTGCCCTATACTATAATTATTTCCATGGTAATTGATTTGAAGAGCTTTCCTCTTTGCTACCTAAACGTTATGAATTTAAGCGTGCGCCTAGACAGGCTGCAGGGTTTCATCATGTTACAGTTAAAATGGCTAGATGTAACTGTAAGTTCTGTGCTAACCGTTCGCCTCTTCTCGCTTATGGAACTCTCTTTCGGCTGTTTGCTTTTCAGTCAATTTTGAGCTTCAAAAATTTAAATGCAATGTCTATCGTTGTCTTCTGACCTCTTTAAATGTTCTTTTATTGTTCTTAATAATGTTTTATTTTTTCATTTCTGGTGGCACTCAAGTTTTGACTTCATACATCTTATATTGGAGCGAAATGATAAAAAATATTTTGACTGAACTAGAGGGAAAACTATGGTTTTATAAGAACTGACGTTTCATATTCTATTTATATTTAGATCCACTATTAGAAAGAGAAAAAAAAACAACAGTGGTTTAAAATGTACACTTACAATATACTTACACTGTTAAATAAAAGCTTATCTTTATCGAAATCATTCAAGTATAAGGCACAGGGAAGCTACTTTACGGAGATGGGAAAGTGACTGAAACCGAGATGCCAATAACATTGCAGATACTACTTTGTATTTTATCAAATGATGTGGAAAAATAAATGAATTTCTGGTGGCTTATAAGTTTTGTTAAGTATTTTGGCTTCCTGGAGGAAAGAGCTTGATTGTAAATTAACTGGACGCAACAAAACAAACCAAAAATTATTCTGAAATGATTTAATGTTTGGATAAAAAAAAAAAATAATGTTTAGATAAAAAAAAAAAAAAGAAAACCGAGCTTATGAGTAACAATTTACGAAAAAGTTTCGTTTTGGGGGGAATTTAGAATCAGAAAAATAATTTATAAAATATCAGTAAGCAGAAAAAGGTTCGTCTACGAAACTCTGGAGTTGGTTTGCTGGATAGAGCATCAATCAGCTAAGTGAGAAATGTTGTATTTTTATTAATCCTAAAATATAAGTATAGATATCAAAACTATAATTGCATTCTATTCATAAATATAAGAAAAGTTTAACTTTTCTATAAGTATGACAAGAATGCTATAGAAATGAAAAAAAAATAGTGTTTCAAGTAGTAAAACGACTTACAATTAAAATGTAAGCCTTTATTTTCCAGAGAAATGTTAAAGATGAACATGAAAATGCAAATTAGAAGTACATAAAATGCCAATGAACAAGTTTTAAAATAATTTTTTAAAGTACCTTAATTTTCTTTGTCTTATCCTCAATCCATTTTTCTCTGCGTAATTTTTCAGCAGCAGAATTCATTTCTTTTAGTTTCTTTATCTCAATATTATGACTGAAAACAAACATTAGGAATTGAATAAAAAACAAATGTTATAAGCAAATTAATTTGGATGTATTTATATAAGATCAGGTTAAAAGGTTGAAAAACTTTAATGTATCAAAGAAATTTGAAAACAAATTTAAGTGTTTCAAATAGTAAAACAAATTACAATTAAAATGCAAGCCTTTATTTTCAAGAGAAATGTTAAAGATGAACATGAAAATGTAAATTAAAAGTACATAAAATGCCAGAGAACTGAACAAGTTTTAAAATATTAAATTCTTATTTCATGCATAAAACTGATTTGAATTAAAAAGTTGAAAGTCAAGTGTTATAAAAAATATTACTTTTTTTAAAGTAAAATTCCAAGGGAGATAAAAATGTATTTACGGAATCAATGACCAATACTTTACTGAATTATAAGAATTGTAAAATAAAGAAGAATAAACAAGGGGGAAAAAATTCACCTTTCTTCCTGCATCTGAAGAAGTCCGAAGGGTACAACGGCCGAAATGTTGTAAAAATAGCAACAAAGATGAGGACATTTGTTGTTGTCATCATCATCATCTATATGCTGTATAACTTCAGAAAGGGGTCGATCATGACTCTCCACAATTTTCTATTCTTTGTAGCTCTTAATAAATTTTGCCTTTTCACCATACCAGCCACGGACTATTCTGAAATTCGTTTACACAAACGTTTATTCGAGGTTCCCATTTGTCCCTCATGCTTTTAGTATGAGATGAAAGTGTTAAATTCTCTAAACCCTCTTTTCTCATTATGCGCCCCACAAATTTCAACACTTTTCATTTTGATTCTAAATAGAAGCGTCCTTTTTGTTTCGACTTCCCTTAAAACTTCCTCGTTGGTCACATGTTCGGTCCATGGTATTCTCAGCATCCTTCTATCGAAACACATTTCTATTAACCTCAAGTCTCTTCTTCATCCGTGATGTGGTCCCAAAGTTGGGACCACGGAAGGAAAACACGGAACACGGATTTGAGGTAAAAAAGATATATTAAACAAAAAGGTTACAAAGATAGTGTAAGTATAAGCGGAGCTTACTATGTGCTAGTGTCCAATATTGGTAGTCGTACGCGGCTGATACTACGGTATTAGAATACTCTCTCTCCTCCTCTTCTTCTTCTCTCTCTAGAGTGTAATGTCGCATACTTTATATAGTCCTGGAAGAGTCCATGTTGTAGGTATGTTACGGTCTCACAATAATCTGCGAAGAAATAGTTCAACATTCGACACCATATAGGAAGGTTGATATCACATAGCGCTTCAGCCCTGGTATTTTTGTTTCTAACGAATAAATCTATTTTTTGTTAATATTTTCTTCAGCATTTTGAAGGTGTCTGTTTGCTATTCCAACTAAAACCTTAGAAATGAAAAAGAGACACTTACACATAACATCAGCAGGAGACAGCTGAAGTTTCCAGAACGTATAATAAGGAAAGAGGACTTGGAAAATTTGATACTCAATGGAGAGATTGAAGGCAAGAGAGGCAGAGGAAAACAATGCATAACCTACTTAGCGAGATAAAGAGATAACAAAAAGGCAAAATTTATTAACAGCTACAAAGGATAAGAAATAGTGGAGAGCCACAATCGCTGACGTCTTGAAGGGACACGGAACGACGACGACGACGACGAAGAAGAAGAAGAAGAAGATCTTAATTTTTTTACTTAATTTTTTACTAAACTGTTTTAAATACTTGACAATGTACTTTCAGGAGTACGCATACAAACCTGATATCGCATTCAGACCTGATATTAATTACAAACCTGATATCACATACGGACCTGATAATGCATTCAGACCTGATATCGCATAAGGACCTGATATTGCATTCAAACCCGATATAGCATTCTGATATTATATTGCATTCCGACCTGATTCCGACCTGATATTGCATTCCGACTTGATATCGCTTTCTAACCTTATATCGCATTCCGACATGATATCGCATACATAATTGATATCGTATACACATCTGATATCGCATTCAGATCTGATGTCGCATACAAACCTGAATGCATTGTGATATTGAAAATAATGCATCAATTATGAGCCATCAGAGGTAACACTGAATTACCTGCTTTTCTTGATGGAAGAAAAACTAAAATAACACAA